GCCCAAAAATGCCGAGTTTTTACAGCCCAAAAATAGTTGGAAAATTAGAAGAAAAAAAGTGAATACAACAAGTAAAGAGGCAAAGCTTTATACCTCTTGAAGAGGAGATCACTTTCAAATAATAAACCAAGGAAAACACACCCTCAAGAGCTTAAACAAGGCTCAAAGATACCTCAGCTCAAAGATGGAGAGGTTCGATTAAGAGTGTATAGGAAAAGGCAAAGGATATGTAGGCAAAGGTTAAGAAATTTACAAGAGAGAGGAAAATTTTTGCTCCAAAATTTTTCTTACCTCCGAATATGAGAGGGAGGTCATCTATATATAGAAAACATGAATCTCCCTCATAAACATCCAGCCTACACGTGGGAGCAAATGTAAGCATCTGTGCAAACAGCTGGCACAACTGTTACAAAATATATGCAAAAGACATTGGTGGCCTGTAGGCCACACCAATGGCTAGCAACCAGAAGTGATGGCCGGCAGCCCAAAGCAGTGGCCGACAGGCCACCAGGGGTTACAGGCTTGAAAATTCAAGGTTTTGATCCAAAAACAAGGCAACAGGGGTGCAAGGTTTGGAGGGCTCAAAGCTGTGTCATTCCGTTGAGGACTTTAAGCACTTAACAAGCATAGGCACTCATCATTGGGTGTGTAAACGATGACGTCCAAGTCGTAAGGGCCATTAAAAATGGGGTGTCTATAGTAGGTCAGTAAATAGGTTACTGAATCTTAAATGGCAACTAGAGAACTCTTTTAGAAATTTTTAGCTAAACCTAATCTGTGAAAACACCGCAAAAAGTTAGGAATCCCTTGGTGACTAACTAAAGATCATGTCAACAATTTTGCTTTAGCTCTGTAAAATAAATGCAGAAGTAAATTTACGTAGGGTAAAATCAATCTCTGGTAAGTTTTATTGGATTTTTTTTTATTTTGTTTTTATTTGTAGACTTATCCATGTATTATTTATACATTTTGCATAAATTAGCACTAGAAAACTACTCAGGTTATAGACCATCAGAATTGAAAGAAAGCGTCCTTGACATTCATGATTTGCAATTGAGTAATACGTGCAGCATAAAGCATCTCATTTTGTATTGGATAACAGTGTACCATCTTCATCTTGTACTATTGTAGCTTGATGAACTCACAATTTTAGGGCATGTTTGGTTGTGTTTTCATTTTTGTTTTTTGGGTTTTTGGAAATAAAAACAAAGTACGAAAACATTGAATTTACTAATACTATTAACTTCCAGCATAATGCTATTTATCAACAAAAACAAAAACAAAAGTTGCAAAAACTTATGGGAGTCGGTTCTTTACCAATTTGGGCCGTGACATTATCTCATATGTACAAGCAATAATCTAATTTGAATTTTCTTTTTTTGAACAGTTAAAGTGTGTTATAGCTTTGTCTTCTCCTTCACAAATCCCTGTGAGTTACTTCGAGGCTGTAGACGCGCCCGCGGAGGGGGGCCTTATGCTACTACAGTTCGGACTCGCGATTTTGTTGTCGCGGTTCTTAATCTGAACCAAAGAGTCCAAATCTGGCAAATCGTTTTGAGAAACAGATTTTTGAAAAAGTCCTCAAATTTTGTAAAGAGAACTTGTGGAGTGGAATGGAATTTACTCATTTTAGGGAACTGGTGGAATGTCAATGGAAGGCATTGATGGCTTACATGTTAGATTCTTGTTATGTGGTACACATGATCAATAATTCTGGATTTGGAATAGGATGTAGATCTTGTTGGTTATTGCTCTACTCAAATCTAGTGTTTGTTAGTCCAGAATTAACATGAGACCTATACTTATATATATTACTAGTGAAAACAACACATCATTATTTTCCAAGATTTGCTGTTTTTTAAATTTCTTTTTTTCAAATCTAAGCAGTCCAGTAACTTTTGGATGATGTTCAGTTCCACGGCTGAGCTAGTGGTTGTGCAAGTCATGACCTTTTAATATTAGCAATCATGCTTAAATAATAGTTTGGAGATTTAAATGGATGAATTATTTTACTTCTGTAAAATAATGTTAATCTTTAATCTTTAGTACTTGTGGACTCGTTTGACATGAAGATTATTCTTTACAAGATTGGATATGAATGGAATTATTATAGAATTATGGAAGATAAGTTTTACTATGACAATGAATAGAATAAAAAAATTGGATAAATGATGAAACTATGGGTATAAAATTATACCCTAGGATAAAAGAATTGCTATGGAGAATTGGATTATTAGTACTATAGTTAAGATGAAATAAAAATATATTACATATATTATATAAATTTTTATATATTCAATCTAGCTTCACTTTATGTAAATTTTAGACCTTAACAATTTCACTATGAAAACTTTTTTTTTTTTTTGTAAAATTGTATTTTATGATGAGCATTAAAAAAAACAGGTTTAATATGGAATTTTGATTCCAACCCGAGCTAAGTTGGGATGGTTTGATTGAAGGCATAAAAAAATTAGAAACTAGATTGGTTGGTTGATTCAGTTTTGAGTTTAGCACTAACTGAATCAATTCAATCCATGTCCAATCTTATCTACTACCTACTTCCATACTACTACAACGAATCAATTCAACTACGATTTGAAGTACGGTGATTGGACTTGCAGTCACTTGAAATAACATGTTCAACATGCAACTTCAATTGAAATTGCATTTTCACCATGCGATTTCACTAGTACGGTATGAAGCGATTGACACTCACTCGAAATTGCATGTTCAACATGCAACTTCAATTAAAATCGCACGTCCAACATGCAACCTCTCTGCAAATCACATCCTCAACATGCAATTTCACCATTCCCAGGGATTGCGAGTATGGTTTACCAATTTGAATCGCATGTTCAAAATGCAGCTTCAATTAAAGTCGCATGTTAAGAATGCAACTTCTCTTGAAATCGCATGTTCAAAATGCAACTTCTTGTGAAATTGCATTTTCAACATGCGATTTCACCTGCCATGAACTTCCTTCTGATACAATGATTTAAAGTACGGCGGTTGCAGTATTTTTTCTTTTTATGTTCACTTGTTTTTTATAAATTTTTCTTATAATTTTTCTGCCTTTGAAATTGCAATTTGAACATGCGATTTCAAGTGAAGTTATATGTTGAACATGCGATTTCAATTGAAGTTGCATGTTCAACATGAGATTTTAAGTGAAGTTACATGTTCAAAATGCGATTTCATTGGTAACTTGCACCACTCTTGTCAATGTCAAATCATGAGAGATTTTCGAAAAATGTTTTAAAAAAAATTATACAAACACTAAAATCATATTCTCTTCATTAGTAACATGCAAGATTGTTGTCAATGTAAAATCTTGAGAATTTATTTTTTATTGCTTATTTAACTCCCCAACACAATGGTGAACGCCAAACTCAAACTCTTCAACTGTTCCTTCTACAAATACTATATTTTAACATTTCAAGAGACAAAGCTTCCAAGATAATAATCTTTTTCATGAAGATTATATAGGTAAAATATTCATTTAACACAAAATCATTTATTTATTTACATATTTATTTTTTATGCTAGTTAAGAGTTATATTCTTCAATAACGTTTTGTGTTTGATGATTTTTTTTTTTTCCCCAATTTCAATGGAAAGAAAATGATACAATCTTGCAATATACTATAATGGCAGAATAATTAATGATGAGTGTGGAATTACATATGAGAGTCCTGATCCAAAATGAGTTAATCAAAATATTTCGTTTATCGATCTCCGCAATCGATTAATCGAGGCTACAGAGATACACCACAATGGTGGGAATGTCCTAATTACATACAGATTTCCATCTAGAAGTTACCCTCATGCTGTCTACTACACATCACTTGCGATCACAAATGATAATGGTGTTGAGGGTATATTTGATCTAATTGACTCAACTCCTAGTTACAACATTGATGAGTTATATATCATTGTGGAGCCTATCTATCACGACCCAAACTCGGTACTCAAAGGTTCGGCACCGCAACAATTTATTTTTTATTTGTGGTGCTAAAATTAATTAAATATTTTAGGATGTTATACCATTAATGTTTTTCCTTATACTAATGTTAATGTTGATGTGCTAGGTACAAGTGAACAGACTCCCATGGATGTGTATTCCCCAATCAATACACATGACCATCAGTTCGAACCTACGTACTTTGTATCATCCGGTCATGACTCCCATGGTGATCATTTCGAATCTACGTGCATTGTACCTATCGGCGTTAACTCTGATGGGGTAGAAGATATTCAACCATGGTCCACGAATGAAATGTATGCAACAACCACATATGTTGTACAAGAAATAATTGCAAATGACATCTACATCCCAATGGATGATGGTTTGGACCCTAAAGACGACAATACGGATAAAGGAGTTAGTCAATCAACTGAAGGGGGACAGACTGTTTTTGGTGCTTTTCACCAAGCCCCATCTCCAATGTTTGCTGAGGATACATGGTCAAATGTTAATGATCCGTCCATACCGTTGGCAGTTGATGTCACTGGGATATGGGATGCAACAAAGGAGTTAAGCAAAGGGTTATTGTTTCGAAACAATGAAGACTTACAAACTGCAGTAAACCGTTATGGCGTGATAAGAAACACTTACCATGTAGTGGTGAAGTTAACAACAAACTTGTGGAAATTGCGTTGCAGAAATGGGTGCAAGTGGAAGCTTAGAGCATGTAAGCGTGTCAAACATGGTTTATTTAAGATTACTAAATATAAAGGACCTCACACATGTGTATCTGCAATGCTTACACAAGATCATGCAATGTTGAGCACAAAGTTAATTGAGCATGAAATGCGAGAGCTTATAAAGGCAGATCCATCAATCAAGATCTCTGTACTGAGAGCCAGTATTAGGCAAAAGTTTAATGGTTTCTTACCATCTTATAATAAGGCCTGGAATATGCAAAGCAAAAAGCCATTGCAAATATCTTTGGGGATGGGAATGAATCATACCACATCTTACCAAAATGGATGGTGGCTATGATGGATTCCAATCTAGGAACTTTCGTTTCATGGAAAACAATGCTGTCAGATACTGCAAATAACGTTATATTCGAACGAGTGTTCTGGACATTCAGTTCTTCTATCGAGGGTTTCAAACATTGCAAGCCAGTCATCAACATAGATGGAACCTTTCTAACTGGAAAATATAAAGGTAAGTTACAAATTGCTGTTTCATGGGATGCAAATAATCATGTATTTCCAGTTGCCTTTGCCATTATGGAGGAAGAGAGACTAGATACTTGGTCATGGTTTCTAACATGCATTAGGGAGTACGTGACACAACGAACTGGCCTCTGTCTTTTAATTGACAAACATGGAGGAATCTTATCAGCTGTGAATCGCTCATGTTGGTGGCAACATCCAAATGGTTATCATCGCTACTCTGTTCGCCATCTTGCCAGCAACTACCATGCAAAGTACAACAATGCGCTATTGCAAGACATGATCACTTCGGCAGCTTATGAGAATCAAAAAATTAAGTCAATAAAAGACTTAAATTCCAAAGCTACAGATGAATTTGATCGTTTGCCACTTGAACTGTGGGCGTTAGTAGATGATGGTGGCAAACATTATGGAGATATGACTACCAACCTTTCTAAAAGCTTCAATGGAGTATTAAAGGGTGCACGACATCTTCCTATCAGATCATTGGTACAACTAACCTTTTATAAATGTGTTAATTATTTTCAGGAACGATGTAACAAGGCCAATGTTGAAATGCATGCCAGTGAAGTTTACAGTGCTTATGCAAAACAAATGCTCACCAAATGGGAGAAAAAGTCCAGGGGTCATTCAGTGCGGAATTTTAATATGAATTTGGGTATTTTTGATGTTCAAACTGCAGTGAACCCCTTATATTCGAATCGGGGTTTGCATCTTCATGTGGTCAACTTGATGGAAAGAACATATGACTGTCAAAAATGGCAGAATTATAAAATTTCATGTTCTCATGTCATTGCAGTATGTAAATTTGCCAGCCTTGACCACCTACAATATGTTGATGAATGTTACACACTGAAAGCACAAATGGCATGTTATCAACACTCATTCAATCTTGTAGTTGATGCTGCTTATTGGCGAGAGCCTAACTTTCCAAAACTCCATCCAAATCTAAACCTTGCTAGGACTCGTGGTCGTCCAAGGACAACACGACTTCAAAATGCTATGGATTGGCGCGAGTCTTAAACCAAACAAAATAGTGAATTGTGTGGCCAACAAGGTCATAATTGGAGGAGATGTCCAAATAGTAATGTAACAGCCTCAAGTAGTAGGTGACAAAACTAATTATTATCCAAATTGATTGTACCATGGGTTGTATTTCAATATTAAATGTAATGTTATCAATCTTATTTATTTTCTTGCTTGTGTTGTTGCTTGTTGTATTTTGTTCAGTAGAAGCTCTGCTATTTATCAAGTAAAAAATCATCGACAGTTGTCTGTTGCCTGTGTTGAGAAGATTAAGTAAAATTTTGGTTAAATCGATGAGGCTGGTTGATGACAAGTATATTTGAAAAAGAGTCTTTGCACTACAGAGTGGTCGTCCATCAGCTATGCAAAATGAAAATTTTTTCTTTAGGGAAGTCCGCTCGAATGTCCGGTGGGGTACAAAAAGATTAAGTAAAATTTTTTCTTTACGTAAGCACTATGTTTACAATCCAAAAATATGTTTAGGCTACAAAATTACGTGAAAAATAATGGGATAGAATAAAAGATTTCAATATAAAGTTTCAATTCATAAAACATAAAACTCATTTTTATTATAAATTCGTTAATCATATGGATATAAAAATCTCCAATTATTATATCTTTTAAATTTTTTATATTTTCATATCATTTGTATTAATTTTAATCTTTATAATTTTATTAAAATTACAATTATATAAATTATTATATTTTTTGTAAACCTCCTAATGTAATTTAGGCCAGCATTTGAGCTCTCGTTCGGCATGAAGAATTTTGGGATTAACAGACTAAAATAGTTACAGAAAGATAAAATAAATTATTCATCTATCCCTCTTTCTCTCTCTTCTCTTCTCTTCTCTTCTTATGTATTCATTCATTTGGTTGTTTTTGCATCGCATTACCATTTACAATCTCAAACTCCTAGATTTATTTATTTTTTTATATTTCTAAAATTTTAATATGATCTTCAGCTTGATGATTTTCATTCATGTATGATCTGTAGGGATAATTTGACTTAATTATTTCTGTTATGAATTGATCCATATGACATGCCTAGCCTTCAAAGTTCAAACTATGTCAACTACTAATCTGATTTGATGCATAAACCATCTCCAATGTTACATCAGATTGAGCATCAGATTTGAATTTGATGAAAAAAGCCACTTTTTCTCTCTCCAATGGTTTCACCAAACTGATATCAAACTGAGAACAGAGCAAAAGTTTCATCAAACTAAGAATCCGCGTGAGATTTCACCATTTCACTGTGCGTTAACGTTGGAGGTGGGGCCACCGGTCAACCGGCCAGACGTCCGGCCGGTTGACTCACCGGTCAACCGGCACATCCATAGAAACTGGTAAAATTAGAACAAGACGAATTAATCTATCGACAAAAAGATAAATTGTTGACTTCTTCTTTTTACCAACATTTGGCACAAGTCAGAAATTGTCAACAACTGCTGAAACTACTCACCGGTCAACTGGCACATGCATACCTACTTCAATCTGCTTCACTTTTTGGTTAGCCTGCGAACTGGTTAAAATAGGTAAGTTACTGTTGTGGCACTACAAATAAATTGAAGGTTGACATAAGTTTAAATTTTCATCAAAATGCAACATGGAAAAGGTACATCATATATACATATAAATTTTGAGTTGAGAAGTAGCCGTTCTGCACCAGCAATTCCAATAACTTACTGTTGGTGTGATAGAGTATTTTGAAAACTTACCGTTACTGTTGTGCTCTATAAATATACCAATCTTTTAATTTCATTATATCATTTCAATTTTTATTTTCTTTGTGAGCTTCAATTTGATAATGTCATTACAATTTATATTTTGTTTGTGAGCTTCAGTGTATATTCTCTGTTTGTCAGGTTCAATTTCTTTGTGAGCTGCAGTTTGATAATAGCATTACAATTTATTGAAGTTCTAGGCATGATATGAATTTTATAGTTCTATGTCATTACAATTTTTCTTTTTGAGCTTCAGTTTATATTATCTAATTTTGAGGTTCAGTGCATATCATTACAATATATTTCACTATCTAAGTTAGATATTGTATCCTACTGAATTTGTTTCAAACTATAAAAAATTTTGAAATATTTGAGGAATCACAAACTTCATAGTACAACACTGATATTAATTTTATTTCGGAAACTTCACGAGAGCACAACATTGATATTCATTTTATTTCGGAAACTTCTCATGTTTCTCATGGTAAAGCGTTCACAATTATAGAAGATAAAACTTTATATAGATCTTGGTTGGCAGTCTCTCAAGATCCCATTACTGGCAATAGTCAGACCATGGCTATATTTTGGAAACGAGTACTTGTTTATTTTAATTCACAATTGAGCAGTAAATCAAATCAAAACCGTATTTCTTTATCTTACCATTGGTCTGTCTGCAAAAGGCAATTAATAAATTCTGTGATTTTCTTGAGCAAATTCAATTGAGGTAACAAAGTGGAACAACTGAGGCAGACATGGTAAAATTTCTTTCTGTTATTAAATATCAATTTTCTTTTGTAATGTATACTTGTTATTGAAATTTTTGTAATTTTTTTTTTGTAGGTCGCTGAAGCGAAGCGGATGTATCATGCAATACAGAAAAAACACTTCACATTTGTTACATGTTAGGATATTTTGCACCGAAGTTATAAGTGGGATGAATTTAGAACACAACCCAAAAAAACCACGCAACATGCTTATCCATGTTCGAATCCACCAACTAAAGATGAGGTTTTTCAACCTAACCAGAATATTGCGGTGCACCAACAACCGACTAATACATCAACACGACCAATTGGTACAAAGGCAGCGAAAGAGAAGTTAAAGAATCAAACAACTCACGATGGCAAATTTGATGAAATGGCTGCTAACCAATCCAAAATTGTTGAAGTATTTTCAACTATCTCTGCTAGAATTGTTAAGCGAGATGAACAAAAGGCAATAGACCGTGAACAGAAGGCTGCAGAGCATTGAAGAAGGGCCGAGGATAGGGAGGAACAACTAAAACTCCTATCTATGATGAATGAAAGAGAACAACGAAATGAAGATCATAAAATAATGTCAATGGATATGACAAATTTAAATCCTATGCAAAGGGCGTATTACGAAGAGTTTCAACGACTAATCTTACTTTGAACAACTAATAGATTGCCTTGACTGTTTCTGTATTGGTGGGTAGTATTGGTTTTATTATTTAAAATCATTAATAGTGGGTTGTATTGGTTGTATTGGAATTATTTGTATGCATTTTATTTATAACATATATTTGTATTGATTTGATTTTAACATGCTCATAAATATGTGGTTGGTAAAACATTTTAGTTCACACATTTGTTTACCAATTGCTCTGTGTTTATTAAAAATTCTATACATTACTAATGTTCAAATTACCACCAGCAAATAAAGGAAGCTACTATATTATAAAAGACAAAACCACTACGTTTATAAAACAAATTGACCCAACGAAATAACAAAAGGTTGTTAACAAAATACAAAACAACGAAAATACATAATTTAAAAGTACATTTTAAAACAAACAAAATTCACATAATTTGTTCTTGTCATCTAAGCTGTTATCAAAACACATCAACAGTCATTGTCCGGTGGTGGTGAAGGGAAGTAGTGATAGTAGATGTCATTTACGCGATGCTCAATCCTATCCCAAATTGTTGAATTAATGAGTTCTGCGCAATGGCAAATGCATCAAACTGAGTACCCAATGAATTGACCTGATTAGCCATTTGTTGTTCCCATTGAACACGCTGATTATGTCGTTCTTCTTGCATGGCCAAAAACTCAGTCCAATATTGAGGTTATTCAGTTGATAGCATCGTATTGGCATAAGGATCTTCTGGAGCATCATCTGGTCGGACATGTGCATTAAGACTTCCCATTAAATTGTCAGCTCCACCAGCATGGGTCAATGTATACTTCGAAAAAGCTGAGAGATTTTGGTCTCTGTTTCATCTATAAGGTGAATCCTAAAATGTTTGAAAATTTTAGTCAGAAGTGCCCCAAAAAGTAATGACCACCCCATGAATTGACCAAGATTTGCATACATCATTTCTTTCATTATTATGTAGCACAAATCTATTTTATGACCAACTTCAAAACAGTATAACAAATAAGTATTAAAATATAAGACAGCATCAAAATGTCCTCTTTTCAGAGTGACATTTTCTACAATCTACTGGTGGAGAATCCGAAGATAGGGTTTCAAATGTTTGGTTGTAGATTAGTCCTGCTAAATCTGTTCTCACAATAATAGTATATACGTCACTGATATTACCAACAATATTAACTAGGTCAGCCTCACTCTGAAAATGGATATGCGTATCCCCTTCCTCAACTCCAATAATTCCTGCTAAAGTAGGGATATCAAACTGAATACCTTTTCCTTTCACATAAGACAAAAGAGTAAAATTTACATCTTCTTCGTTAGTGTCTCTTAGGTGAACATAAAATAAAGACACCAGCCGTGGATATACCTTTTGCGGTAAATTAATTAAATTTACCCACCCCATTGCCTCAAGTTTGATAACTAATAGTGGATCATATTGAGATGGCAGATTAACCATTCTCCCTGTTACAATAAGTCGCATGGAGAAGCTTTCAAAGGCTTGTTCATGACTTTCACTGAGAAAATCAGAAGTAGGATAAGCATCATTTTCAGGCTGTTGTTGTTGGCATCGTGGAGGGTTAGAGCTTTCACCATGTTCTGGTCAGGCTCTTTTAGTTCTAGACATGATGTGAATATTTGTTCAATTTTAATGGAAATGTGTTAAATATCAATGGTGAATCACAGAGGAGCTTAAACTAAAATGGAAATGTGTTAAATATCAAAAGTGAATTAGAGCTGACATTTAGTGTAAGGAGCTCAAATGGTATGAAGTGTGGTGTGCAGAAGTGCAACAGATAAGGAAGTGTACACTGAAAACAAAAACAAAAACAAAAATTAGCAAGGTCGGTTGACCCACCGGTTGACCAGTGTTA